GTAATAATGTGTTAAGCGAGGTGTAATTTCATTATTTTACAACAATTTAATTATTCAATTTTTTTTTATTAAATTCTGAAGTCACAAATCATCTTAACATTGATACTTTAGAATTGCAGTGAATGTGACTTTTCTATTCAATCTTTTCAATTGAGAATAGAATGTACTGAACTATTAGAATTATTTGATCTAAGCTGTTCTGTAAAACCTAAGAAGCAATCTCCTGTTTATGTGAGATTACATAGGTAATCTAGGTTTATCAAGAAACGGTTTTTGGTCATCTTAGAACTATATCAACATCCTTTTTTTATTTTTTAATTACTATCTTGTGTGTTATAAATATTATTAAAGATTTTAGATGTGTTGAGTCGGTTAGTATGTTTGCAGTCATACGAATTGGATTTGTATGAATAATTAAATATTTGAATGGATGTCTGGATTAAATCATATCACAGCGCGTTTCATCAAGCGAATTCATTCGAATTCGAGTATATCGGGATGCTGTCGGTAGCCTTGATTACAAACAGTTTGTCCCTCTTATTCTCTTCTGATTGCGATGTTTCGCTCTTACTTGAAAGTGTCATTGCCACGTGTCGCTCAAAAACTAATTAGCTTTAGACGCGAGGGGATTCCACAAAAACTTATTTCTATTTATAGATGGAAAACGGTTCCATCTTTCATATTGGAGTTGCAATGCATTTATCATAATTATTAATTGTTGTTTGGGTAAAGTTTGTATTTGGGAAGAGACATGAATCGATTCATCCAAGTCAAAATCTATTATTTCATGAAGAAGAAATGAACAGGGAATGTTTAATTTAGTTCATTATTGAAATTTCCACTGTTATAAATAATATTTAGGAATGACATGCGATTCCTTTGTCACGCAACGAGTTTTTCCATTGAGAGCAAGCTCATTCTTATACTTTTCGTTTTTCTTTAAATTTCTGAGATGTTTGTTATGCGATTTTGTAATATATTAAAGAGACTTTGCTCTTTGCAAAGGCACAGCATTCTCCTGTCAACAGTTATTGATTGTGTGATATTGACTTTGCTCTTTTCCCCTCCTGGAGTATAGCAGGAAGGAAGTGATGATTTGGTCGATCGTTTCTTCACTTACGACTCGCTACATTTATAATTTTTGTTATATCTTATCCACCCTTGCTGTGTTCATCGGAGCTTAACAAGATTTTTTTCAGGAAAATTGCAAGCTGTTTCAGTACAACTAATTGCAATGTATTGACCCTTTTTACAGATAATACATGACTGCGGTTGCATGAAAAACGTAATTGAAAATGTTTCCACTGACGGTATTTCAAACGTAATCCGTCAGATTTACTACAAATGCAATTCGATCTAAGATAAAATAAATTTATAGGTCTGTTCGATGCAGGAACTATACTTTTGTAATATCTAGGGTAAGGCTTAACATGTCATAAATTTTTGTAAATGTTTGTTGAACTCACTTCGACCTTTTCATGTTGGACTGCATACATACAACAGTTTTGGAATTCAATTCGCACCGAATGTGCGGACGTTAATTAATCTAAGCGACTGGGGCTGTTTTTGGTTATATTTTATTTGCTGGTTTATACTCTGAATATTTTCCCCTAGGAGCACGTCCCGGAATTGCTGTGCTTTATTTCGTGCATCCGAGAATTTGTTTGAATAACATTGACGGATAATATAGCCAAATTTCATTTTTTGTCACCTGTTTTTTCTCCTTTTTATTTTTGTAATGTTGCGAGTCCTAAACAGACTTAAAGGACTTTTTTAATTTAGACTCCGCCAATATTTTGGCGTTGTTTACCAGCAGCGAATTGTTTTGCAAGAATTTTTATTCTCAATAATTTAAAACTGACTTTAGGATGTAACAAAGAGTTAAAATGTGTTTGCATATTGACCATAAATATTCAGTGGGTTATTTGCAAACAAAGAAATCGTTTGAAACAATAATTAATGTATACGGAATTTGGTGAAAGATATCCACGTTTCAAAGCTTCTTTTAAGTGACTTGTGTCCTTTTTAGTGTTTAGATGTTGCTTATTATATTGTTATTGCGATTTGTAGCTTCACAGACAACAATAAGGAATTAATAGAGCATGATTGATCTGTGATATGCGAGACGTAAAGCGCATTTCAGATTTTATTTAAGACTTCTTATAACACCGAGAATTTGTTATAAAACTTTGTTTCAAATTAAATTTTTTATGAAAATGATGAAAACATCCGTTATCTTTTCTCACCTGATTTCTAAATAAATACGCGAACAGAACAAAATTGAAGAATACATTATTTATCACTAGACGGTGCTTTGTTTTTTTATTTTATTTCCAGAACTTTGGAAGTATGAAGGAAGTTCCTACTTTATAACTTGCTGTATTGTTTTATTGGAATAAATTTTCTTTTGCAAATTACTTGTTGTTGGATATAGTTTGTTACAAAGCAATTAGCATTTTAGAAAAATATCTGATCTGACTAAAACATGAGAACACACCTTCAGTTTTAAAAGCAAATAGGCGTGATTATCTGTAAATTTGCGCACTTTAAAGCATAGATTATGTACTATGATGTTCTTGGAAATAATTTTGTGCTAGCACCGACACTTTTGAGATGTGCATCACGTCTGATACGAGGCTACTACAAGCTCCTAATCTTTTATTTACGAAAAATGTTTGATCCGCGTGCTATAAAACAACCTCAGGTTTCCTGAATGTACATTTTATTACTATGTCACCGACGTTTCATGAGAACTGGGATGCTAATTTAATTATGATCACTTTACTTTGTATGCTACAGGAACCACAAAAGGCGTTATTAATTTAATAATGCCGCGAAAGTCACAATCTATTATTAATATCTAACTAGGGCAAATTGGGGGGTTAGTCCTTAGCTATTGGATGGTTAAGTAACATGAAGTAGTTATCGGAACTCCTAATTTTGTTATGATGAAGTGGAGAGTCCAAGTTATGGAGAGTGAAAATAATGTAATTTTTATTTACTATTTCAAATTACTACCATTAGTGTAAGCCTGTTTGTGACACATACGTGGATAATGAACATCATATTAAATTCCTTGCATTTTTATGTATAACAGTTTTTCATCTGCGAGTTATTTCATTTTCGATGTATCGTTTGGAAAAACTAGTTTTCGTTCAATGTAAGCGACTATTGATTTATCGTCGTTGCAATACAGAAACATGTCCGTTAAAATGTACTAGCGGAAGTGACAACCGGGATCAAATATATCATCATTTTATAAAGTAAAAAACAGGCCGACTATAAAAGTAACAACGTATATTATACTCTAAACCGATAAACGTAAATGGATGGGGTAAAAGGGCTATTATAATCCATCACCATTCATTATACACTGCCTTTGTTAAAAACTAATTAAATTTTATGTTTTGGAATGTATTTTGTGTTGCATTTTATTTTGTAAGGGGTTGGTATCTAATATGAATCAGCTTGTATATCATTGTTCAAATATTAAACTTTAAAAAAGCAACAATAAGAAAAGCTTTGCTTGAGCGGAGTTTGCTGGACAAAAGACTATTGTAAATCATTCTTAAGGCAGAGTTGTTAAACGTTACAGGGGATTATTGACTTATAGAGTATTAAAGGGAGTGTTGCGAATTTAAAGTTGTGACGTAAAAGAATCAACGAAGTTTTGCTGTGAACGTTTTCGTCAAATTGTTTCATAAGAATTGTGACAAGTTTACCAACGTTGTTCTTAATATATTCATACAAATTTTAGAAGTACAGAGTGTTTCAGAATTTAAATATTAATAGGATTTGTAGATTTTTTTTGTAGAGAACTGATCTTAAAGTTTTTATTTTAATATTTGTAAATTTTAATCTGTTTTTTTTTAACTTAATTCACTTTTTTAAACTTTTTGTTGGTAGCAATAATTAGGCATTTCGGCAAAACTTAATATGGATTTAAAAGTTGTGGTTGTGGTTGTAAATGGGATTAATTTTAATAAATAATAAACGCGGTATTACTAATAAAGAGTAGGAGGTCTAAAATTGGGGATTTGAGGTTTTAAGATTGAATTTTTTAAAACCTGTATTAATTTTTTTAATTCTATTTTAACTTGTTTTTTCTAGAAGGGAAAAAATCAATTTTTCAACAGCACAACCTGAAGACATACATAAATAAATTTTTCATTTTACTAACAGGCACAGATATTTTTTGTAATTTTATTTAAGAATATGAGCTGGCTACAGTTTTTGTGCATATCTTTTCATAAAACTTGTCATTAAACTAAGAAAATGTGTGAAGTACTTTTTTGAGATTTTTACATTTAACAGAATTTTATTTTTAATATAGTGGATGTATGATTGCAGTACATACCAATTATTTTTTAATGAATGTTTTGAATAAGAATATCATTACTTTGATGTGAGAACCACAATTACCAGACTTTCGTTTTCGTTAAAACTTTTCCCCTAGTATGTAATGAGTTTCGGTTATATTCTGAAAAAATTACACTCTAGTCTAGGAAGAATCGTGATTATACATTTCATATCCGCAGTGGGGTCAAACTCGATCTACTCACTTTTTTGAGGCAAGGTTGTTCGACATGTTAATAAAATTTTTGTATACTGGAGTGCGTTTTTATAACCCTTAAAATATGCAAGAAGGGGAAATGGCGGATTAACAGTCTGTGTTTGTGTCATATATGTTAGTGATCATACCTTTAGAATGTCCAACATTTGGCAAGGCATTATTGAGCGTAATACCACTTGTAAGGGTAATGGGAAGAGGGATTTGACCTCGTAAAACCCTTGCAGTACCGTTTCGATCTAAGTGCAAACAATTATACACAGATGAAGCGACCAAATTACTGTTTTTAATGCAATAGCAAACATCTTGAGCCTATTAGCTTTTCTGAGGTCTAAGAATTCCGAAAGGGCAGTAATTGAGTACACTTTGATTCTTTGTAAGAAACACAAAGCTCTTTTGTGTCTAACGCTCGCAATTATCATTGTTTCAGATTTCGACTTGAACTCGTGGATAAGATATTACGAGCCGGCCCATTACGACCCCTCTTCTTTGGTCGTCCAACACAACCGTGTCCGGAGAAGTGTCGGTCAAAAACAACCACGCCAAGTCCAATTGGACATTAAAGGACACGACCGGTAAGTCTTTAAGCTCCAAGAGAACCAATAATGAACATGTGTGACCCGAGCAGCGTGAAATGTCATTCGGAGATTTTAACAGACGATGATATTTTGATACTTGCTGGAAGTTTGCGACACTAAAGTGAAAGTTTATTACTTCTGCATTCGACCACGACCGATCGATTGTTGCTACAGAAGAAATTCGTTGGGTTTTGAATAATGCAAAAAATGAAATGTTTAAAATTCGCTCGTAGTGGTTGATTTTGAGCGCAGTGTTGAAAACTTAATAAATTGCTATTTTCGCCAGTGTTCCCATTTGTTTACCATTTATGTCGTAATTATAATTGATGAAACGTCTAACAAGACCTTTTTATATGAATATTTTAACAGAAAGTGCGGCAATGTTTGCGATAAACTAACAAAGATAAAGATGGTCTGGCCGGATATTTATATTCAGCTTTCGTTATAATCGCTTCTGAAATAAACTTCTTGTGACAGCTGAAAAATGCAAGCAATTTTATTCGACTAGCCCACCTCTAACGTGAACGACCTAAATCAATTTAAGACTTTTGGGGATAATTATAAGTTTTTCTGAAGAAAACTTAGAAGTTTATTAGCAAAACTGAAACCAGTTAAAATGTTTCTGCTGATGATTCAGGCTATATTAAATTGTTGAGAAATTTAATTACTATCACTGCTAACAATTGGTTTCAATCAAGTTTTTCGTAACGCTATCTATAAATAGTGAACAGAAATAAAATAGTATTAAAAAACAAGTGTTACAAACACTGTCATTGTGATACGAGTAGTTTGTAACACGAGCCACGCAGTAACAAAGCACGAGAGGTTGTAACATTTTATCCTATTTTTTTTTTTTCGTATTGCGAAAAATGTTGTCAACAACAGTGTCACGAAGAGCATTTTGACAACGGTTTTCAGTTCCACCTTGTTTAAATAGCTTTCATTTGATATGCCACAAGTGGAGTAGTGCCATATAAATTTTTAAAGTTGGGGTGTATGGGGTTACAGAGGTACAGGGAGTGCTTTAAAAATTACAAAGAATGTCCTCTTCGGAAACAAAATTGACCTGTTTCGGCGTTTTTGCAGTCTTTTTAGTTTGTGAGATATTCGGGGTGGCTCGTTTTTATTGGGCCACCCTGTATGTTTCTTTTTAATGTGAGTGTCGGCCGGCGATGATTTAGATGTTTTTACAGTTTTCAGTTTTAATTTCTAATTTAATTGATTGATCTTTTAGTAATTGATGGATGTGGAACTGTAATGTTTTTCAATGTAAATTATTTAAACTATTGCAAATAAAAACAAAGCTTTAGAAAATGTGAAAGAGTCTTAAACTGATCTTTTCTACACTTTTTTCAAGTATTTGCCTAAAATTCGTTTAAGTTTCTTAAATAAGTTTTTTTGAACTCATTAAAATAGTTCGTAAAATATGTAGTTATTTTAGTTACTACTTCTATTTTTTATTTTCAATCACTATTAAAAATACGTTATGAAAGGTTTGAATGTGTTTTTGGCAGACTCGTCAGCAAAACTTTATTTTTGGTACATCATTAATTAATTAATAACAAACATGAGATATGGACTTCTGTAAATACATTTTTCTAGATTGTAACATCCGTGGATGTTAAATTTTAACGGGCGTTGTTACTACTTGAGTCAGGTTTGACATTATTTGACATTATGATTTTGATGAATTTTGCTATAATCTTTTAGTTTCACGAAAAGTACTGAACGCCATACGGTCGATAAGCAGATAACAGACTCGGTTGATTATAAGGTATCGGCTGGCGCCTTGATTTTACAACATTTTGTTGTTACCGTTAATATAATAATTGTTATAGTTATTAACGTCATAAAGCCGATATGTACCAAATACAGATGAGGTTGAATTAAAATTATTTGGTATCGGCCGAATGTCGTTCAAGAGTTTTTGTAATTTCACTCCTGACTCAGAGAGGAGCAAAGCTTTTAATTTTGTAATTTTAGACATTTACCATTTAATGTCTGGCGGCCGTTATAATCCTTAAAAATAACTTTTCATCTGTCTTTCACTTCCGTTAGATTCAAATAACAGGATAGGATTACGAAATAGTTATTTATGTATTCAGAGCTGTTAAGGAGGCCATAACGATCGAGGAGAGCCCTAATCTTTCCGCGGTTGTTATCGCTCCTAACAGCACATGGTTCGTACAACTTTTTTCGTCGTATTAAATTTTCAAATTCTAAAGATAATAGGAGTAATATTTTAAGGTTTAAACTATCAAAGCTGTTAAAGCTTAAAGCGAAAGTCTGGCTGTTTAAACCTCTTAACAGTTCTGTGATATTGACAGCTTAACGATTGTCAATTCTTGAATCATAACATGGAATGACGAAAATGACTATTTTGTTGTATTGTGTTATTATGGTATCCGTCGTCGGGCCTCAAATAACTGCCTCGGTCGTTATGACTTTTTTACCTTTTTAACAGCTTTGGATACGTAAATAACTATTCCATAGTGAAAAATCATAAAATGTTGTTCACCAGGCAGTTAGTAGATAGATATCTATAATTTAGTGGCGGTAGTTAGTTCTTCATGAAGCGTTTCCTGGAAAATAAATTAATATTTTACAACCAACCTAAAGTAATTAAAGATGTACGCACATATATTACGATTAAAATAATTTTTTTCGTTAAGCATTTATTTCTGACAGCCAAGTGGGCTTAATTTACTTTGTTAACTTTTGATGGCTTTATACATATTTGTATTAATAGAAAATAAGCTATTTTTTATTTCCACAATGCGTGTGTTTTAATTCTGAATCATTTATTTTGTATTTCAGATGTTGTTTTTAATTTTTTTATTTAAATTAAACTTTTTTACAAGACACTCATCTACTTTAGTATTGCTTTACTTTACTTAGATGATTTGTTGTTATAAATGATTATGAAAATAACTGCGTTATTTTAACATTTTCAGACAACTTGTATTACTTATGAGCTAAATGCTTTGTCTTAAAATTGCTTTGCTTTTCTCGAACAAACAAGTTTTTATTAGTTGGCGGATTAAAGATCACGAGACATTCTTATTTTGAACCTTATGAAAGAAAAATCGTCTGATCAGTTATTTTTAGTGTAACGGAGCGTGAGCACAAAGTAGCAGACTTTAAAACAAAACATCTTGGCATTAAACCGGCGCATCCACCAATTTAATTATTGTAACATCCTTATTACACAAACGAACTAAAAAAATTTAATGAAAACACGCTTGTTTGAGTTTGCCTTACTATTCCTAAACAAAGCATTTGATTCCGTAAAAAAGTAACGATTTTATTTTATTCGGTTGTGTTGCGTTTTATCTGAAAACACTAATTTTTATTAAAAATATTCATGAATCTTGTTCAGCTTGTCTCTGATTTACTATCGTATTTTTACACTACTTGACCAAAGTCAAGTTTCCTTCTGAACTTGTGATCTGGGTTATTATTCTCTCATTCGGGGCCCCAAACGGGCTGTAAATTGCCTCGACAAGGCCAAGTCATCAAGTGTAAGACTAAGGATATGTAAATGGCGAGGCGGTGATGAAGAGATATTACGTTTTGAACTCTTTCTTCTGATTAAATTGGTTTTTTCGGGGATGTGCGAGCTTCGCTCTCAAGTGGGGATTAAGTTTGAATGACAGTCTCGGAAATTTTGGGAAATAGCGGTGTGCACTGTCATGGTACATGAGTCAGTGGTTCAACCTTCACGTGACCGGTGAGTGACTCCGGGAGCCTTCACACTCCACGCGAAATAATGCGTGTGTTAAAGCGGTTGGTTCTATTGTAATTTCCTATGGTTTGCACTAATGGGAAATCATAATCCAATTGGGCCGTTAAGCCGAAAAATCGACATTTGCTAATTAAATTCTGGGCTTAGATCGGATGCGATTTTTCATTCGACAGCAAATTCTCATTGCTAATTGCAATAATTACTGATGTAGGGTTTTTGCCCCAATTCATTCTGGTCTGTTGGACGAATTTATGGTAATTTAATTAGGCATAACATGGTAATGAACGAAAGCCTGGGTCAGAATAAAAAAGTGGTCATTACACTTGTTTATCATTTCACAAAATTTCGGCGAATATAAAGATAACACCTCTTCTTTGTCTCTTTGTTAACATTTTTATGACGTGTTGTTTAGACAATAATTCCTAGCAAACCGGAAAATAAACAATGTTAGTGACCTCGAAACATTGAAATATGAAATGGAAGTGATGATAACATCGGTAATTAAAACATGTTTGTCAAAACCTTAGATTGAGTAACAATAAAAGGAAATATTAAGGCTTGATATCCACTCTTTAACACTTTCTAAATACTATTAAAACGTCGCGGAGGAAGAAAAATTATTTTTCGTTTCGTATATTCAAGGTTTTGCTCAACAGAGCAATAAGAAATGTGTTTTGTATGATAAAATTCGTATTAATGCAACACTGTTGGTGCTTTTCTTAGAATCAAGGACTTTTAAGTAACCTTTTTAATTAAATACTTGTTAGGTAACGAAATTCATCTAGGTTTCAATCTATTTACTTTAAAAGGCAATTTCAGTTTGTTGAATATATTGTAATTAACTTCAACTCCTGAAAAGGTGGAGATATCAGAGCACAATGTCATTGTTTCATTTTAAAACTTTTGAAATTGAATATGACAATGACAACTTTGCACTGTTTGTGTTGGATTAAAGGTCGACATATAATCTCCTTGAATAAAAAAAAATTAGTTAAATTATAATTTATGAGCCACATTAGTGAATTGGAAGCCAAGACAAGAATTCTAAAAAGCTTCCAAACTAAATTTTCAACTCTCGAATCTCAAAGTGAGGGTGTCCAAATCAGATTTAAACGTAGACGGTTGCATCTTTCTTCGTCTAGATAGATATTTGTTTCGAAGTGAAAGCTCTTCGATCTGATTTATCTTTGGGTAGGAATGAATCTAGAACTAAATAGTAACGATAAGCGATTACCAATAATCAATAAACAAA